CCTTGTTGGGGGGCACAGAGGTGAGACGTTTCCTGGGGGAACCCTTGTTGGGGGGCACAGAGGTGAGACGTTTCCTGGGGGAACCTTTGTTGGGGAGCACAGAGGTGAGACGTTTCCTGGGGGAACACTTGTTGGGGAGCGCAGAGGGGAGACGTTTCCTGGAGGAAGCCATGTTGTGGGACACAGAGGTGAGACGTTTCCCGGGGCAAGCCTTGTTGGGGAGCACGGAGGTGAGACGTTTCCTGGGGGAACCCTTGTTGGGGGGCGCAGAGGGGAGACGTTTCCTGGGGTTGGTTGCCAGGGTTGCACACATCTGAGGAGGGATTCTTCAGGTTTCTTGGCTGTCGCTCGGCCACTCAAAGTTTTGGCTCCTCCCATAAATGTTCTATAGGATGGAGGCCTGGAGACCGGCTGGGCCCCTCCATGACCTCAATGTGCTTCTTCCTCGGCCTGTACCTTCAGCAGAGAAACACCTCCAGAGCATAATGTTCCCCCTCCGGGCTGGACTGTAGTGACGGTGTTCTTAGGGTCAGAGGTCACCACTGTTCTTCCTCCAATCACGGCGAGTCGAGTTCATGGCAAAGAGCTGAATTTTGATGTCATGTGACCACAGCACTTCCTCCCAATCCTCCTCCCTATCCTCCTCCCTCTGAATCATTTACATGTTCATTAGCAGACTTCAGACCGGCCTGTACATGGGCCTTCCTGAGGAGGGGGGACGGGCCTGTACATGGGCCTTCCTGAGGAGGGGGGATGGGCCTGGACATGGGCCTTCCTGAGGAGGGGGACGGGCCTGTACATGGGCCTTCCTGAGGAGGGGGGACGGGCCTGTACATGGGCCTTCCTGAGGAGGGGGACGGGCCTGTACATGGGCCTTCCTGAGGAGGGGGACGGGCCTGTACATGGGCCTTCCTGAGGAGGGGGACGGGCCTGTACATGGGCCTTCCTGAGGAGGGGGACGGGCCTGTACATGGGCCTTCCTGATGAGGTGACATCCTCCATGGAGCTCCAGGCCGAGGGCCATTGATGGGTATTTTGAATTCCTTCTCCCCGAGCTTCTTGCTGGGAGTCTTGTAGCCCATTCCAGCCTCGGGCAGGGCCACGGCCCCCGACCTCCTCTGACAGCTCTCTGGTCCTCCCATGGTGGGGGAGGGGTGATGGAGGAAAGAGATTCTGGGGTCAGGTGACGTTAGGAGCACCTTCTTAAAGTGACAAGACTCATCTGTGTACCACATGGCCAGTCTGTGGGAGGAGCCAGTCTGTGGGAGGAGCCAGAATGATGGTCGGTAGGGGATGAAATACTCATTGTACTCCATTGATAGCCTTTGTGTCATGTGACCTCTCCGGGTGTTTGGTGGATATTGTGTCTCCGATGATACAAATCATATCTGTACCGCACACTACATACCCCGATGGACTCACGCGTGTGTCATGTTTATTTCAGGACTATACACGGGGGGGATGTCTGTACCGCACACTACATACCCCGATGGACTCACGCGTGTGTCATGTTTATTTCAGGACTATACACGGGGGGGGGATGTCTGTACCGCACACTACATACCCCGATGGACTCACGCGTGTGTCATGTTATCCGAGGACGGGAACGGGCGGAGATGTGGAATCGCATTGAGGAAATGGCGCGCTTGAACCCGCAGGTAGTTGGTTTTGGCTTCCCGAGTTCCAGGCTCCTCCCACATTCTAGGTTGATCTTACATGATGCAGCGGGACAAGTGAGACTCACTGTTCTTGTCTCAAGGCATCTCGGTGGGCAAGGGCTTGGAACGTTGGTGAAGGGATGGCTCCTCCCAGAATGGAGATCTCTGTATTGGAGGTCCGGCTCCTCCCAGAATGGAGATCTCTGTATTGGAGGTCCGGCTCCTCCCACAATGGAGATCTGTGTATTGGAGGTCCGGCTCCTCCCAGAATGGAGATCTCTGTATTGGAGGTCCGGCTCCTCCCACAATGGAGATCTCTGTATTGGAGGTACGGCTCCTCCCACAATGGAGATCTCTGTATTTGAGGTCCGGCTCCTCCCACAATGGAGATCTCTGTATTTGAGGTCTGGCTCCTCCCACAATGGAGATCTCTGTATTGGAGGTCTGGCTCCTCCCACAATGGAGATCTCTGTATTGGAGGTCCGGCTCCTCCCACAATGGAGATCTCTGTATTGGTGGTCCGGCTCATCCCACAATGGAGATCTCTGTATTGGAGGTCTGGCTCCTCCCACAATGGAGGTCTCTGTATTGGTGGTCCGGCTCCTCCCACAATGGAGGTCTGTGTATTGGAGGTCCGGCCTGTGGGGAGGATGTCTCTGCTGTATGTATAATGTGACTGACTCTCCTGTCTCTCTGTCTCTCTTTGTCATGGCCGCTACACGCAGTACTCCATGTTTAATTCTCCTCCCGCCCTCAGTCTGATCTGCTCCATGGAGACAGACACTCCGACCAATGAGGACATTCAGATCCTGAAGAACACCATGGAGGCGGAGGCTGTGCAGGTGACCGCTGGCCTTCCCTTCCTGACCTCTGAACCCTTTCATCATTCCCCCACCCCCACCCTTCCTCTGCTGCATCAACCGCCTCTCTACACTATACGGCCAAAAGTATGTGAACCCCCCCTCCCAGTCAGTGAGCTCAGGGGTCTCCAGGGATGGGGGTCTGGGGTCTCCAGGGATGGGGGTCTGGGGTCTCCAGGGATGGGGGTCTGGGGTCTCCAGTGATGGAGGTCAGGGGTCTCCAGGGATGGAGGTCAGGGGTCTCCAGGGATGGGGGTC